TCGATAACTGTTTGTCAGAGGGAAAAGTAGTACAGGACTTTTTTACTTGATTTGGTCTCAGGAATATGCTGTCGCAATAGTGCTCTAATTATTGAAAATTTTTATGTATGTAAATTTGGTAGATGGTACAATACACAAAAATTTTCCATAATTGGAGCACTATTGCGACAGCATATTCCTGAGACCAAATCAAGTAAAAAAGTCCTGTACTACTTTTCCCTCTGACAAACAGTTATCGAAATATCATAAGCTAAACATTGAAAAAGTTATAAATTTTCTCTTGAATATCTCAAAAAGTATTAGGCAAATAAAAAAATGTTTCAGACAAAACTTACGTACTTTTTAACGTGGAATGCGAATCTGTTGTAAAAAGTGGGGGTTCCCATTTTAGATTTTAAAGTTGTCCCCCGCCCCACCCACAGGGGTGGGGGTGGGGGGGTCAATTTTGGTATCATTCGATAGCTCTTTCAAAAATAGGAAATACATATTTTTCCGTTTTCCGATCCACCCACAATTTCTCGGGATATTCAACCGTTCCGGGACTTTTAGACCACCCTGTATATCTTACGAACAAAACTCAAGCAAATCTCGTACAAATTTGTATGCATAAGACGAGCAAAATTTGCGCGCAAGAATCGTTATCTGGGTAATTTTGTATTTTAGTATAAAAAGACTAAATAATAAAGTTTTTTATAACACAAAATATTGTTTATTTTAATCAAAATGAAGAAAATTTAGTAACGCTTTTATTTCAGAGTACAATAAAAATAAATTGAATTATAAAACGGTCGCGGAATGCAGTGATAGGGCATCGACCGTGTCCAGTACCAAACCTTGTTTTGATATTGAAAGTCTTGGCGTTTGCGGACAGCCTCCATATGGGTACACAGATCCACTGCAGCCGTGTGTCCTCATTAAGTTTAATAAGGTAAGTATAATCCTGTTTCTACATATTTGCTAAGAAAGATATTCTCTTGGTTAATATTAAAATTTTTACATTTTTGTTACTAGCTCAAATTTAAAAAAATTCTTTCACATTAATTATATTGTAGAGATTTAATTGGGTACCAATTCCTTACAATAAATCGTCCCTATTACCAGAAAACATGCCGCATGTTTTACAAGAAGCTGTGCAATTTTCGAATAAGGTTTGACTCAAATCTAATGTCTAATCCATCATAATCAATATCACAATAATTCTTATTCATTGATTGTGGGCAATTTACATAAACATAGTGTATAGGTATCTTGGTAAATAATATATTTGAAATTTTACTGTCATATGCAAGGTGTTTGGTAATAATCATATCATCTCTCATAGGCGGGCAGAACGGATTAAACTGAATAGAGAAATCCTTAATCATTTTGCAATTTTCCGAATAATTAGTAAAAACTTAATAAAGTTACGAGCCGTGACAAAGTGTCTAAATAATTTTATTATACTGATGAACAATTAGAAGAAATTTATTGCGAAAGATATTACCTCAGCCAGAGCGGCTGAATGGGGCCAGAATGGATGAACCTGGACCACCCTCAAACTAGGCGGGCGTCTCGCCAATTCGACCGAGGCATGTGATAATATTAATCGTAACAAACAGTTTAATAATGTTTCTGTGACTATCATTCGAATCTTTGAATTTAGAATTGCACTCCGACTTGGTTTGTCTCCGACTTTGTTGACTCACCATGCAGTCAGTAGAATGAGTCAGTAACTGTAAAATGAAAATATTTTTGCTGTCAAAAGAACAGTCACGTATCTAACAAGAGAGCATTGTACAAAATTCTGGCAAATACCTACGCTTTTAATTTAATTTAGATGATCCCAATAGTTACCCACTATATATATGTTGATAATGTTGTAACTTTACATAAAATGTTTGGTGATTATGCACAAAAGGGGCCTCCCCTCTGATTTCATTCATTTTTTAATATGTTATTGGGAGGGTTTTCCCGAGTAATTTCATACATATATAATAAGGATCGAAAAGTACAAAAACCCCTTGATTGTAGAGAAAGTTACAAAATGGTAGGAGTTTTCTACTCGGTTTAATTTTGTTGGTTTCATTTGCTCACAAGAGATGAGGTATTACTAAACACCTTGCATGCGTTCGTACGTATAACACACACACGCGCGCGCGCGCATATACAATTATTTTATAACATAATTAAACAGTACCAAATCTGGTTATGGTGCGATGGAGTAAATAATGTTGATAAAGAACACATCGGAGAAATCGAGTATTTTCCGAGTCCCGGCTTTCCTGTACAATATTTCCCGTTTGTGGGACAACCAGATTATTTGGCACCGGTGGTTGCGCTGCATTTTAAAAATCTCACACGTAAATCACTATAATATGTATAATGATTTAGAAAAGTATATCGAGCCATTTTAAAAATAGAAAATAGGATAACTAGAAGCTTATTATCTTGCAAATATATTATTGATATGTTATTTTATGATATTAAAAAGATCTGATTGATTTTATGAATACAATATTTATTGACAATAAATTGATATTGGTTATTGGCCAATAATCTTTTTACTATGGACAATAAATATTTTATTAATACAATGTTTTAGCGTTTAGATTAGTGACAGTGGAATGCAGCTTGTGGGCACTCAATATTAACAAAGATGCACAGAACGCATTGGATTTCCAAATAATTCTGGGCAAACCATAAAAGGCGATGGTTAACAAATATGTTGATACTTGTATTCCATACTACTTTATTAACAAATATGCAAATATAATTAGAAATTATGGATTACTTATTTTGAGCAAAATAGAAATGTTCGTTTTGTAGAGTTCTTATAATTAGTATTAAATATTTATTTAAAATTATATAAATAATATTCATTCTCGCCATTATATAATGATTCCTTTATTATGTACTATGTTACAATAATAAATACACGAAGATGTATTTTCAGGATTTGACCAGTTTGTTTGCATAACGTATAATCTAAGATATTATTTATAAAAAGATGAAGGCAGCAATTATATGTATGATAATGTATTGTTTTGTTTAACTTTCAAACAGCCGCGTATCCAGGTGTTTCTGAGATAGCAAAAATATAATGTCTAATGTTCGTTTTTCATAAGTTGAAAGGCTAATTCTAAAACCTGATTCTACCGACAGAATGGCGACTCGAGACCACAGAGCTCCATTTACAGAAATTAATATCTTTATTAAAGTAAAGAATAAATATCTTCATTATATGTAAACGAGAAGAGAGCAGGACGAAGCTTTATTTTTAACAATAGATGTATAGAATCAAACACTTGGATGAATTGTACTGGAATTTATTGCCTTAACTCCGGATTTACCGTTCCTTCTGGAATCAGCGATATTCTCTAGAGCAAGAAGTTATAGATGGGTAAACCAAAAAAGAGAAAGAAAGAAGAAATAGGAAACAAAATGATTTGTGGAGAAATTAAAAGAGACATAGAGTAGCACAGAAAGATAAATAAGAAAAGATGGAGAAAGATTCCTAAAAAGAGAGAAAGAAAGAGAAAAAGTAATAAATAAGAAATATAAGAAAGAGAAAGAGAGAGAAAAAGAGAGAAAGAAAGAAAGAGAGAGAGAAAATATTAAAGAAGAACGAAAAATAGCAGCAGAGATAAAGATAGAGGGACGAAGAGATGTCCAGAGAGAGAGAAAGAGAGAGAGATAGAGGGGGAGGGGGGATAAAATAAAACAGAAAGGGAATGAGAAATAGTCCATTTGGACTGAACAATATAGCTATCGTTTTGTCCTTGTTATATTTTGATCACTGAGTAAAAGAGTATGAAATGAGAGAGAAGAAGAAAGAGAGAGAGAGGGGGGAGAGAAAGAAAGAAAGAGACAATAGGAAAAAAAGGTGGTTGAGTATAAAATTTGTGTTCTCTTTTGAGGCAGATTTTGTGTGAATTTCATGTTAAATACGAGGCTTCAACCGAGGAACATATTCTCTTCTTGATGATATAATTTCAATTGGTCTTAATCCTCCTCTTCTTCGCCCGTGCCGGTCAACATAGCAATTAAACTCGGTGTATCAATGAAACCTTTATCATCGATGAACATCTGATCGAATGCGTCATTCACTTCTTTCGGTGTAAATTTGTCGCCCCATGTCGTTAAAGCTTGCCTTAATCTATTAACAAACGTAAAAATCGTCTTATTATATTTTCTCTGCATACGAGCACACACGAGTATCATGTACTATTATATATTTTATTTTATATGTTTTATTCTAATAAGAGAATAAAAATGTTGTTTTAAAGCCAAACAGCATCTTTCAGTTAAAAAAAAATTTAACAGTTAACAAAGCTAAAGGAACATGTAATTATAAACTGATGAATATATATGGACACAAAAATGACATAGTATACGAGTATATGTATATTTTATGCAATATAAATTTTTGGCGGTCCTTAATACGAATTGGAAAATATGCATAATATATACCTTTCGCCGTCGATTTTGCCGTTGTCGTCGAATGTCTTGAAGGCATTGATCACAACATCATCTTCGTCAGCACCTGACAAGAAAGAACATTGTTCAGTTTTTAAAATCCAGCATTTCTCGGTTGTTTCTCCAATTAATAAATTATGCATACCTGATCCTGACATACGAACAGCGAATAAGTTCATCAGTTGAGTGAAGTTGATGGGCGCTGGAGCTTCACTAAGCATTTCGTCGAGCTCCTTATCGGTCGCCAATCGGCCGACGGAGTCGAAGGCTGCACGAAGATCATTCTTACCAATGATACCGTCTTTATCCGCGTCCATTAGCTGGAATGCCTGAAAGCGTAACAATAGTGGTGCAACATAAAAAAATTTTTATAACTATTAAATCGTTATTTTACTGAAGAATTGATTTTGTACTGTTTGCAATATACTAATATATTGAAGACTGCCTCTACTCTGATGCAGTTAGACCTCTCTATTTTAACTCCTATTATCTTTAAGACTTAAAGAAGTTGTTCGCTCGTTTTTCATTCTAATACAAGAGTTACGTGACAAATGTGTAATGGTAAATCAGACTGTCAGAGTTTACAAGGGAATACAATTGTAAAGTTCGAATAATGAAAGTGCCAGACTAGAAAAATCTAAAGATAGAGACGAGTCTGGGGATTAGGATTATATGTAAAATTATCTTCTTTAAATTATACCTCCTTAAATTCGGCCACTTGTTTCTGAGAGAACATAGAGAAAACACTGGATCCGCTGCGTTTAGCCTTGCGGCTGCCACGGCTGCTTGCTCTAGCAGAGCCGGAGTCCTTTGGTGTACCTGTAGGAGTTGGTGCTTTCTCTTCAACTGGTGCTGGCTCGGGCTCGGGTGCCGGCGCCTCCTCCTTCTTCTTAGCCTTCTTCTTCTTCTCCTTATCTGCCTAGGATATAAAATATCGCAATTTATAACATTTCTTACAAATTCTTCATCATTGCTGGAAAGAACTGAACTGAGTAAAAGATATCTGATAGTTTTACCTTATGAAATATCTAAAATAATCTAATCAATAAAAAAATAACTACTATGATTAGTGATAAACGTTCTTTTGTGGAAAATTTTGAATAACTTATATGGACAAGTGAGTTGCTTCTAATATTATTTAAACCAAAAATGTTTTAATTTTGAACATTGAATAAAGTTTTTCTTACATTAGACAAACTTAAATATCTGAAACATTTAACATTTTTAAAAGTAAATTTCGTCTATCTTTATGTTTAAGAAGTGTAAAAAGTAAATTAATAATATGAAATAATAACGTAAAGTGATCGTAAAAAGATACATCTTCACGGTATCGTAAAGTGATCGTAAAAAGATACATCTTCACGGTATTTAGGTCACTCATAAAATTCTTCGTTTTCAATGATATTCGAAATAATTCGAACTTCCCGACATATATTCGAAATGATTCGATGAGTTTTGATGAGTCGTTAATTTCAATAATTTTCCCTAAATGTTGAAAGTTGTGTGCTAAAAGCGAAAGAAAGAAAGTAATTTTTAAAAATGCTAAATTTAATTGACTATCAAATAAGACTAATAAAAATATATTTTATATTCTACAATATGTATTATACATATGTATATATCATGAATCGTTCTTGTTTCTTTTTATCTTAAAATTTTGCAGAAACATTTTTACGATAGATTTACGAATAGAATAAAAATGCATACATTCGTAGAAAAAAAAATCAATAGGTAATTGAATTAAATGTAAAAATTATTTTGATAATAATTAAAATTATGTTGATCTCTGTAAATGATATCGAGAAGCCTGGTTCAATTATCGCATGAGAAAATTTACGGGGCGCTGCCGGTTGACGCTAAGAATAGAATCGCACGGAAAAGCTGCCAGGACGTATATAGAGCGACCATCCAGTTATCGTATTGCCTCTCGTGTTACCATTCTTACATAATTGTCCGTACTGTCATAATTACCGAAATGAGGCCACGTTAATGTTGCACACGTACACATATTTTATGTTATTAGCCAAATAGATATTTTCCGCACGAAATAAAAGTTGCATTTTTTTATGATTTTATCTTCGCATAAACTACATGTCTTGCGTAACATGTTTATAAAAATACTCATTTTCATCCAATGTTACATGTGTATTAAGCGAGAAAAGATAGTGTTAGACTTAATTGAACGAGGACGTTCGATTATCTTTACTGCTTTACAGTAATTTAGTATTGCGACAGAAGAGGGTACATAAGTACGTCAATATTAGAGACGGAATCAAGTGCAACATATACTTAAAAACCCGTGTCCAATAGCCAAGTTTCATTTTTTGGAATTGAAATAATAGAGGAAAGTTGTCTATCATGAGATAGGATTCTAATATGAAATAGTAGGTTTTCAACGTCCAAATTCAATCACAAATCTTTTTACGCAACGACTACACGATCTAACAATCAATTTTCCACTAAACAGACTTCACTCCAAAGGGGATAAATTCATGGTGGAATCAACAAATGATGTCTATTAATCTAGCAGAAACTTCGCTATCTCATAATTGAGAACTTTCCTCTACTCATAAGAAATAATATTTGATACATTGTACTCGGAAGGTAATTGAATCCCAACTATATTCGTATTCTAGAATGAGTGCACGATTCGAAATAGTACTTACAAATTCTCTCGTAAAGAAACTTTTACAAGTAGTGCTCGAACCTGAGAATTAAGCGGTTAATAATGTATTAATTAGATTATTCATATTAAACATTGATACCAAAGTAATGAAAACTGAGATTTGTGATTTACATACTTTCATCTTTCTTTCGTCTCGAATAACTTTTTTCCACAAACTTTTCGATTTTGAAGAAAAGAAAACTTTTAGTAAAGTGGCCGTGAAAGATTCGAACACGTTCGGTCCAGGTTCGAGTCTACTTGGGAGCACCATTTTGGCTTTTTGCGGTACTCGCGGAGGGTTTGAACCCGCTGATACAACGTATGTTTTGCTTTAAAGTTTCAGCAAGAAAGTGACGATTTTGCATATTCATTTGGAGCTCGCGGTAGAAGCCGCAACGATAGAATTTCGAGGGATTCGCTACCAAAAAAAGGCTCGACGTAGATCACCATCGCACTCCATCGTCACGTAATTCGCCAACGGCGACGTCCTCGTCGTCACTCGGTATATATCGCTCCACGACACTGCGCGTACTCCATCTTTGTGAAATGCACTCGTATTCGCGATTTGGCGGTGCTCCTGCATTTCGTAGATCACATAGATATAAACCCGGTCCCTCGCGTTCCTCCGAATCCGGTAGATCCTCCGCGCGGTTCTCCGACGACCCGGGGAGATCGCGGTGTGTCAACCCGAGGGATTTCTCGTCGCCTTACCGACGTACTTACCATGTCTACAGGTCGATTTCTAAAGTGGTGGACAATACGAGATGGTCACGACGAACCAACTGTCCGAATCATAGAGCCGAACTTATCTAAGTAACTTCTGCGGATCTCCCCCACCAGCGAGCGGGAGGTTGTCCGAGCCGGGGTGCCCTGCCCCGGGTATAACGTCTATCTGACCATATTTAGTGCGAGTCGCCTCAAAATAGCGACCCTTTCGACGTTTCGACTAAAACAGTTCGCCAGGGAGTGTAGAACTCTGACGATCGTCGTCTCGGCGAAGGCAACATCCGTTCTCCGCGGGAGCCGGGACACCGAGCTCCACGATCGACCCGGTCGATCCAGCCGTTCCAAAGACGAATCGCACCTGGAACAAGTACAATCGCCGCGATCCGATCCCCTCTTTGTGCAACACCGATCGCGAATCTGCGTGACAAACGAGAGACGAAGGAACCGTGTCGTTATTTAACTCGTAGTTAAATATCGCCCCTTTTCAGCGGAATAAATAATAAATATCACGGCCAATTTATGAGCGAAAACAATTTAGAATCTTGGAATATGATAACAAACATATTCATTTAATAAAACACAATAAAATGAATACAGCATTGTGGACGTTTTGATCGACTTAACTTAATCATTCTCAGCACAAATTAATAGAAAACAATAGAAAGTGCGAAAATCAGTTTCTAACGCAAAATTTTATTAAAGTCGGACCTAGCACAGTTTAATTGACACAATGGTATGCAGCGTAAGAAGCGCAGGCTATAAGTTAAAATAAGTTTTTTGAGTCAAGCGGTAAAAAGGTGTTAGCCATGATTCTACATTTAAAGGCGTGAATATGTATATTTCATTATAAAATCAAAAAGTCCAACAAGAAGAAATTTGCAATCTTTAAAAAGTTTAAAGTTTACATTTTCCAGTCCACCAAGTAAATTATTTGTAAAAGACATTGGTAGTCGCAAATAACGACTTGCTCTTATGAGATCAGTTCGTCGATTGACTGTTTACAAAATGTCACGTAGAGGAAAGTTCTCTATTGTGAGATAGGATTCTAATATGAGACAGTAGGTTTTCAACGTCCGAATTCGATCACAAATCTTTTTTTACAACGATTACACGATCTAACAATCAATGTTTCACTAAACAGAGATTTCAACTCCGAGGGTAATAAATTCATGGTGGAACAAACAGATGATGCCTATTAATTTAGCAGAAACCCTGCTATCTATATTAGGAATCTGTCCCATAATAGGGGATATTCGTCTATACGTACAACTTAAGGGAATCGGCACGTATGAGATAGGAAGATCGTTGAATATACTTGTCCGCTCGAAATAGTTCTTACAAACACAATTTGTGAAAATTAGGACACTCTGTTTCCCGTTTCGTAGCATCTGTCCAAATTTTAATTAAATCGATCCAATGTTCGAGTTTACCCCGAACAAACATACAAGCCCTCTTTCTTTATAATATTAATATCGATCTAAATAATTTCGTATAAAATGATCCGCAAATTATCACATGTATTATTATTCACGATCGAGCTCTCGGTTTGTAGCACGATATCTCAGACACGTGGGTACTAAAAATAGCTGTCCGATATATTCAAGAATGCACGTATGTTCTCGCATATATTCGCTCATTTGCTACATAATGGCATAACTCAAAATTTTTTAGAAAATAAGTTGGCACGTCTTAATTAAAATTGTGTAATCATTTCGTATCATTTTTAAATATACCTATATACTATTTTAGTGTGATGATTATGAAGGAATAAAACCGTTGGACTATATTAGATACACCTTCGTTCAGTACATTGAATTCTCGCTATTCTTTTACAAACAACTAGAAAGTGACTATTTTTTAATTATGTCGATTGCTGGACATTTTTTTGCAAAGTACATATGTAATTATTTCTTACGTAACGGTTTAAAACCATTTTAAAAGAATAAGAAAAATGTTTTAATGCTATAAAGTATAAATATCACAACACCCGTTGCGATTATAATATTTGGATAAAGAGGCGCAAAGTGCTACGACACCCATGTGTGTGTAATTATAAATAATATACTGTTCATTGTGTTATAATACAATTTTAATTAAGTCCTGCCACCGGAATGCAAATCTAGATAACAATGTAATACAGAATGCAGATATGAGAGAACACAATATAAATAGGATATAATTAAAGTTATATCGTAATATACTCACAATCAGATGTATAATTTAAAACATTTTATTTAAAAAATGTGTTTATAAAATACATTTCTTTCATATTTTTGTGATTTAATTTTCGTAGAAATTTCACATATAAAATTATTGTTAGACTTAATATTTGAATTATATTATCCTATTTACTATTACTAGTAATATTACAAATATATCCGCTAACAACGAGACAGACTCGTTACGACGGACGTTGAAGTCTGCAACAAACATCGAACATAACATTAATGTTAGGAAATTATTACGGTTCAATTTACTGTTTTAATTATAGTATCAATTATTTGTTATGTAAATTAAATTAAATTACTTTTGTCATCCGGATCGCGTACGCCGCACTGCCGATGCCCTAATGTACTTTTCCTTTTCGTTGGTATATAGCCGGGAATGTATAAACTGGGAGTTTCGAGTTTGCCGATGGATATAAGCCTGCTAAAGTCTTTCTCTAATTGATTGGCAATTGGACCTGAAGACACGAAGTCATCATTGAAATAAAAATAAAATTAATTATATATTTCATTCTCAAACGAGTATAGCAAATTAGGAACAAACGGGTGACACTATATCCAAGTGCTTGATACCGATTTGTTTCTCCTTGAAATATATTATTTTACTTACCTCTAAAATGCAAAAGAAATTGAATGCATGCGTCATTATGCAACGTCTTCGTCTTTCGACTATCGATAGATAACATCCACTCGGGAATACCCATCACTTTTCTTACGTCCTCTAAGAATTGCGCCCTGTGAAAACAAGGAAAGATAAAATATATATGTATGCACGCGTCAAGTATATAAAACAAACTTTTAAAAATAATTTTTTAAATAATTTTTTTTATCACATTGCCTATTCTGTAATACGTAAAATCCAATTTTACTAAAATATAGATATCTGATATTTGATATAAAATCAGATATCATATCTCAGAATCGTGACTTTTTAGAATCTGGAAGACATCTCTCAGATATCCAAGCGATATCTGAATAGTTTTTTATACCAGATATTGTAATATTTAGATATCTCCTAGATATCTTTGTAACATTTTTGCTAATTTAACTTAATTTATACTTGTTATACATCCGAGAAGAAACCGGTGCGCGCAGATGGAAAAACGGATATAAGAATTCACATATTAAAATGATTTGGCTGTCTACATCTTGCTTGGACCTAATAGGCTTCTCGTTTCTTGTTTAATTAATTTTATAAGTAGATCGCTTACACCACAAATCGCGGTGGTTTCCTAATATTCGCATATTTTACGATATCATAATCGGGCTCAATATTTGCGCAGGCAAATCTGTTGCCGCCAAAATCCTTATCAAAAATGACGATAGATTTGCCCATTGCGGATACTGGTCCGCCCAGAGGGAAATTGGAATCTGTAAATATCTGTCGCTTTTCTCCAATATTAATGGTTCCTAGACGAGACGATATATCGCCAACGTAACATCTAAGCGGCAAATCTGCGCCACATTCCTCCCTGTAAAGATCATCCTGAGGAAGAATGTAATAATTATTCCAATGGACGCATCTTTTTATCTCAATTATAATTTATATATTAAAACGGTATCTTAATTAAATTAAAGAACGTACTTTGATTAAGGAAACAATATTTACATTTAATGGATCGGCTAGTTGTGTGAAATAGGGATTCCACGTGTATCCCGCTGCTACGCATCGAGTGTCCTTCACTTTCACTGCAGCATCCACACCAACAGGATTTACGTATATCGCCCAATTGTGATTTCTGGTCTGAAACATTAAATGCCCAATTAATATAAAACGTAGACGTACACCTCGGATAATAGTCTCTGATTTATTTTCTCACAATATTGCGGTCGTGCTTCCCGGGATGTCGTAAGTTTACTTCGATTATCGTCTCACTTTCGCTACCGTCTTTATAAACGAGCTGCGTCTGTAATTGTTTATTGTCTCAAAAATTATGTATCTCACCAAAATTTTCGTGTAAAGTTTTTTTTCTTTTAAGTGACACATTACCATTTTTATGTAACCGTATACAAAACCTTGTGGATGGTGGAACGATGCTATGGCACGTAACTCACTGGCATCGGCTGGAGAGTATCCTCTCTCTATGGTAGAACACGCCCATCTAAACACAGAGATGAGCTGTCAATCTTATACAGGGTCATCGAAAAGTATCGGACCCCCCTAATATTTTCAGTTAGAATGCATTTTGGAGAAAATGTCCAGTAGCGAAGTTGTATGGTTTCAAGCGGGGAGTAAGATGATGACTTTCACTCGAATCACTTTACATGTTCGAAAACTCTTCATTTTCGACGTATCTCTGGAATTTTCACTTTTCCCCGTACTTTGTAGATTTCATCAGAATTAGATACCTTAAATTTTTTTCTTTCTTATGAATCACTACACTACGTCCCAGGATACTTCTTGGGCCAAACAAAGGTAGCGTTGTATCGTTGTATGTTGTTATATATCTCTTTTTGTTATCCAGGGTGCCGAATTTTCCGCTTAAATCACCCATTTCATATTGATCCAGCGTACCTTCTTCTGCTGCCGGTACATCGCTCATATTAATACCTAATGGATTCCAGTGTCCGTAGAGTGACGTTCCTTCGCATGGAAACTCTAAACCATATTCTACAGACATCTGTAACATGTTATGCATAGTAATAATTTTTTTATTAGTATGTAGAGGAGAGTGCGCTATTAGGGACCTAATATGAGATAGCGGAGTGTTTGCTAAATTAATAGGCATCATCTATTGGGTCTAACATAAATCAAATATTTAGAGTTTCATTACTATGACAATTTATTATACAATATAGGTCATTTTTATTATAATAAAAAATTTATTATTGTAATAAACATAGTAAATAAATTAATACAAATGTAAAAATTATATAAATTAGTATATGTATAATATTTATTATAATGATAATGACCTATAAAGTATAAATTAGTTGAATATGGTTCTTTTTTTTTCAATTTGTACGACGTAAAATTGTTAAATGTGACAATTTATGCAATTAATATTACCATATGTACGTGATATCCGCTTATTTTTCCACCAAGACCTTCGAGAGACACTTCCACATTGGTAATATCGTATTCAGTCTGTTGGAGCAACTCTAATTTTCCCCTCAGAGATATTTGTTCACCGTTACCGAACCAATCCCTGACAACCGCTTTGCGCCGATAAACACCACCAATACTAAAAATATGATCGTATTGTTACTACCAAAAAATTTAACTTAATGTAATTTAATTTATCGTACGTTATACTTATTACGTTATTACATGGAACAGGCTAATCGATCTCCTCTCGCGACTGGACCGTGATCGTCATAAATAACTAAGCTTTTGCCGAACAATGTATGAGGTCCTGATAAAGATAACATCGTGTCTGTAAACAGTTTTCTAGTCAATTCTGCAGCGTTAACTTTTCTACCGGCAATTTCGAGCATTCCATGTCTCGTTAAGTCACCCAAGCGACACAACGAGGCTTCTGCAATGGAACAGAGGCTATTCGGCTTCCAGTTCACCTGAAATATCATAAATAGTATCTATATGTTTATATGAACAGATTATATAAACAATGTAAATATACGTATACTAAATATGCAAAATAATGCGAAATAATTAAGTTTGCTATTTCGAGAAAGAAGATTTTATACAATTGGATTTTTAGAACATGTACTCTATTGATACTTTGCTACTCAAATTTTAAAATACTTTATGATATTTGGAGTAAATCATATTTTCTTTATTGATACAATAATTTTAATAAAAGTATTGATGTTTCTTTTCAATATACATATATTACTTGGATTGAGTTTAAAATAAAAATCGAAATAAAATTACACGCGTGTAATGTTATAAAATAAAATTGACTAGTGTCTTCGCAAAAAAAGAACAATTATTTAAAAGAATGCCAAAGTTATGTCAAATCGAAGTTGAATCGAAAAAAGTACAGTTCTTTTGCAAAAGAAAAGTTTAATCAACTTTATTAACTTTACTAACATTGCATAAAATGTTATATTTTAAATGTTTAAATATGAAAATTTTATTTAATTCCAACACCTTGTATGGATTGTAAGGTGATCCGGCGCTCACACATCGACTTGTCCAATTGTAGAAATCTTTTCCCGGTGGATTGTCATGTATCATCCATCTAAATAATAAATTTCAAATAGCATCACACAGCGACGATGGTAAACTTATTTGTACAATTTCACAGGCACGATTTATACCTATGGTCTGCAGTATTATTTATTGCATTGCCATCTGCATGAACGAGATGTTCTATTATTATAGTGGTGTCCATTTCAGGATCGTCCCTAGGTTGTCGGAAGAGTATCCGACCAACAATGGGATATCTGAATACCACTTCTGCCGTATACATCGGCATTTGCCAATCGGTATGCGGTGTATAAGGCGTAAATGCGCCACACACCCATGGAGTCATGCCCGTCTTATCAGTCTCATTATATCTGAGAAGAGAATATTTTTTTATATTACCTAAATGCATTACGAGTAACTTTCATAAATATATACATATACACTACTTAACAAAATTAAAAGATTATTTAACATGAGTGCGAAAAAGGGTCACACTCAAACGCATATATGTTTGCCAAAAATTGTTGTAGAACAATATTTAAAAAAGCGTTCTGAAGCTTGGAATCTCAGTTTTTCAATGTTTTAAGGCTTATTTGTCTACAATGGTTTCGCTACATATGGCACAACTTTAAAGCAAACCTTGAAAAATTGCAGAATAAACTTCAAGTTTGACGGAGTGTATGGGAGAACAAAATTTTTTCATATC